GGGGACTACTTCGTGCAATTATTTCACTTCCACTTGTACATATCCTCCTCGAGACAATTCCTCCATCTACCTTGTCCCCAGTTTTATTCTCTTCCCACTTTGCACAACTCCTTATGCGCTAAAATTTTAATGTGGAAGGATAAGACTTGAATCACATATGCGATAAATAGTGGACTTTTGGCAAATGTCAGTGCCAATGCAAGTCATGACGTAATGATGAAAGAAAGGGGAAAGCAGAGCTTGCTTTGTGGCTGATGGACAAAAGATGTATCTCTGGGAGGCACTAAAGTGTTCACTTTACCTAAACTAAGACACCCTTTCTTCGCATCGCCGTGGTTATCAGTAGGCGCATGTAATGGCATTTATGGAGGAGCGTAACGTCGTTGTTACTGAGGTTACTTCAGTAGCAATGAATGCGTGAGAAGTACTGGATGGAGTGCGACGCGAGTGCACTCGTATGCGGTGGTACATGTGCCTGTATTTGGCGAAAGAAAGAGGAGACACTACTAGGAGGAGAGGATTAGTGGAAGGCAAGACTAGAGCTACTGTAGGTAGCAGGGCAAGAAGGAGATACGGAATTCGTGTGGGGAAATGCGCGTAGATGGTGAACGTGTAGGTACTAAGACGAATAAGGAAGAAATAAAGGCATGTTGCGAGAGTGTAAATTGTTGGTAAAGGGATGGGAGGCGAATAGGTAAGCATGGAAAGGACTCAGCACCCGAGCTGAGTGGATACTCACGCCTGAGCCACCACCACAGCTACCGTTGTTGCGACTGTGCGGTCGCGATAAGTGCTGTTAGCCCTGCCCACCGCGACAGCAGAGCAAAGGCGTGAGTCAACGACTGTGCTCAAAGTGAGTGCTATACGGCTTCTGTATGGTAGTGGTGGTGGTGGTGGAGGTAAGTCTTGCCCTTCCTCATTCTGTCCACTCGCTCGCCTTACCGCATTGTCAGTGGTGCTTGTGCTTGTGCTTGTGTCTACGAGCACAGTTCTCGTCCCCTCTTATCTTTCCTCATCATCCACTCCGCTCAGCTATCGCCTGCAGACCTCTTTTCCCATGTGAAACATTTTATTGAGGAGCGCTGACCGTTAAATTAACACTTCAGTGGGTTACGTAGGTAAACGAGAAGGACATCCCATCTGCTTGCCCAACAGTGGTGTGTTCAGCGTCGTTATGTGCGTGTTTAGGCTTACCACAGTCTTGCACACTCCTTTCATGAAAAATCTTTTTAGGTTTAATCAAGCTGAGTATAACCTTTGTCTATGGAGAAATGCAGTAAGGGAAGAATCAGATTGCCAACGCAACAGCCGATCACCGTCACCATCATCACAGGGTAACGATTTCCACTCGTGCTTAATAAGAAATGTCTCGGCGACCATCGCAACACAATCAGGACGTCGCAGTAGGGTCCTATAACTCACCAAGAAGACTTTTAAAGTACATATTGCGCCAACAAAATTGTAATTTAAGGTGATAGGATGTCCTGGCGGGCGTAAAAAAAAACAACTTGAAAACACATGGTTATGCTGTCATCAGCCTTCCCTGCAAGAACTTGGGCTCGATGCAACCTTCAGGATGGAATACTTAGAGGTGACGTTGGACCCGTTGACACAGTAATCACAAGGATGAATGAATTAAAAGGACAGCAAAAATAAGACTTAGGAATGCCTTCGCAGTTTCAATGAGAGGGAGGAAGATGTAATCACCTCGTTTGACATTGCTTTGACAGCTCTCATGTCCTCGCTTCAAGTAAGGATTTCAGTGTAAAAGTTGCAAGAATTTTGCACCATCACTTAAAAAGTCACCTAATAAGTGTTGAAAGAAGCCGCAGGCCACTGAAATTCAACCGGTTCTTAAATTCTTACCCCAGATTTTGTAAAACGGAACGACATTGGCTTCCAAGATGGAAAAGCGACACAATGGCTTGGTGGAGGATCTGTTGGAATTTGCGTACGTTGATGGAGCCACCGAATTTGCTGCCGCATTGTAAATTTCTCACCGCGTAGACTATGGCGACCGAAGAACAGTGAATCGTCAGCTTTGCCATCCTCAACCTCCTTCACTTTAGCATCGTTAGCCCTGCCATCTTCCAGACACTCAAAGTTCGGCTTCTTGTCATGGATGCCACTGGATGTGGTGGCAGTGATGGCGATCCTTCAACCGCCACTAACAGCTGTAACGATCCAAAAGTAAACTGACATCCACGTGCAATCGCACCTGTTTTCGCTCTTAGTGCAATCAAGCATGCACTTACAAGTACAATACTTATTGACTAGCACTTTTTTCATCATAACAAAGTACACAGCCATTTATCCAATGCTACAAGGACGACAAGGAGTATGACATTAATAAGCATGATGCACTTTGAATGCTACCAATCTTCAAAAAAACACTGCGAGACTAAATCACCGTAAAACCAAATTCTCATCAGCGATGGCTCAATGCTGATCATAATTTTAATCGCGACAAAAACTAAATTTAATTAGAGTCCAGTGGCTTAATACAAAGATTCGTTAAAAACGGTATTTCAGTTCAATTGCGGCGAAACTTGACATGTGAATCACCACAACTTTGGTGCTCAAAATAAATGTCACTACAAATCAATTCACATGGCTTTGGCAAAACATAACTACTTTTTTAATTTCAGTAAACACAATAAATCGGTGCGGCTGTTCAGCAATGCACCTGCAACCAAAATTAAAGTCAGTCATACAGCATAGTAAGCAGAAGAGAGACTAAACAAGGTCCTCAGAGAGGAAACACACTGTGGAAACAAGCGCAACAAGATTGAAGTATAAATAACAAGCTGGGATGTTGACTTAAGAAG